TTTTTTATTTTTACATGGGGCCATCTTGCTCTGTCGTTTTGTTCAGACCTCTGAGTCGTCTTGTTCTTTCTTTGCATTTTCTTTTCATACTTGCTATTAAATTATTAATTTTTATATTTTATGGATAAAAGGTGCAAAACCCTCTGACTTAATCAAGCACCGTACCAAAACAGAAGGAAAATACTTTAAATTCCACTTTCGTGAGTCATACGGTAAAATTTGTTTTTTTAATGAAAAGCTGGATTATAATTAATATTTGGCGTGGAAGAGCTAACAACATTATTTTTTAATGCACCTGGGCCTAGAGGCCCACTGGCATTAGTCAGCTTGTTAGGTGTATTATCCCTCCGAAACCCGTCTCGTGTCAAAATGTTAAAAAAAAAACATTATTTTTTAACATTTTTATGTGATTGGCATAATTAGTGATCCGTGGGCTTAAAAAGTACATATAATATAAACATTTACATGTATTTTATTATTATTTTTTATCTTAAAATAATTATTTTTTAATCAAATTTTCGATTTATTAATTTGCCTTCAACATTAAGTACTTGAGTATAGGTGGTTAGGAGTTCAATTCCCACCAATGACTTAAAAAAATCCTCCTCTCCCAAATTCTCTCATGTTAAAAAAAATTATTGTTTTTTTAATTTTTTCATGTAAGGACAATGTTTATATTTATTTGTAATATCTTCAAAGAAAAATAGATAAAGAGAAAATTTTTGTAATTGAATAAACAGTTAAAGTAAATAAATAATGATAAGGTTAAATAAAAAATATTTATTTATTTTGAAAAAAAAGAGATAATTAATTTAAAATAAATTTAAAAAATATAAAAAATAACAATTATTTTGAGATAGAGAAAATTTAACTCACCATTTAGTAATTCATGTAGACTAATGATATAGAAGGATTTATTACATGTATTAATAATGCAAAAGCATTTTTTTTTTATCTTGATTGTACAATGAAAGACAATCATTTCCTATTTTTTATTCAATCTCACTCACATGTTATACAACTCGAATTCAAAATTTTTTACTTCTAGCAGAAAGAGATAGAAAGAGATAACTATTAAGTTATTAAAAGAGGATTTCATTAGCATTCTTATCCAATATCAAAAGTGAGAGGACTAGAAAACCGATCTAATAAAAAATGCCAGAAGCATGAATTGATCTAAAGCTTACATATAACCTAAATGGCATATTCATATTTCTCATAAGAAAAATAAATAATCTTAATTTCGAATCATTCAAAAAAGTAATAATTTTAGGAATATTTTTGTAACCCACTCTAATAGACTATTATTATTATGAAACTTTTTTTTTTTTTGAGGAAGTGTTTTTTAAAAAGTACTTATAATGGTAAAAATATAATATTGGGGCAAATGCAAGTTTTAGTACTAAAACAATATTATTCATGTGGGCGAGGGTGCGTTCCTCAATTATGGAATTAAGGTTCTGAGCGTGTGTGATTATGGCATGGAAATAATTTCGACATGATTTTAAAGAAAATACAAGTAGAGCAAAAATAATTGCATGTCAGAAATGTGATGTTACAAAGACAAATTAATGGACTAAGTGACTAACCCACTTTATGGCTTCGTGCGTAACCGCTTTTCTTCCCAAAATTCTTCTTATTGTTTTTTATATAAAGAGCTACAAGAAGAGGAAATAATCTTCCTCTAATTTTAGAAGAAAAGAGTTTTTTTTTTTAATAAAAGATAATTATTTTTTATCTGTTATCTTACCTCATTCGTAAGTCATGTGATTCGAACTTAAAATTTTTTAGTTTCAATGAAAAAAGATAACTATTAAATTATTTAAAATTTTTTAATTTCAATGAAAAAAGATGACTATTAAATTATTTAAATCATTAAATAAAAAAAGAGAGTTTGGATCATAATATAAACTAACTTTTATTATCTCTTTAATTTAGATAAAACGCATAAATTAGTTAGTGTCTATGGTCAACAAATCGAAATTGAATAAAAAATTACAAGAAGTAAATATTGTAAATCTGGTATATCATAACCAAATAAAAATTAAGGTGAAATTATTCAATCTTGGACTTGGTATCATGAGTTTTATTTTTCTTCAAATTAGAGGGATTTTTTAACTTATATTCTTAAAACACATATTAAATTTCATTAATTATATTATTTATAATTAATATTACATAAAATCTCATATAAGATTAAATATAATATAATATTTATGTTTAAATTTTGTGAAAAAAAATAAATTTAATATATAAATTTATATGAAATTAATTAAAAATATTCTAATTAATAAAATTTAATTTTTATTTAAAAGGTACATGTTAGAGAAATTTTAAATTATAATTCGGCTTTTTTTTTTTTTTTATCGAACTTGGGAAATTATGGGGGATGGGTATTGGGATCACAAAGATGTTTGTAGGCTTTTCCACAAATGGGTTTAACGATAGGTGCTCCTTAATTAGGTATCTTGAATTGGCACAGAATCTAATAAATGAATGTCGAGAACAAATTATGGTAAATATCTCCATCAATTAATGCGAAAAAGATTTGTTGTTAAAGTTACATTAAGCAGCATCCAACTACGGGTGTGTTTGGCACATCTACATGAAAACCATCAACTTTCATGATTTTATAAGGATATTTTAGTATTTATATATTTTAAAATTATAAAAGATAAAAGGTAAAAATAAAATTTTTAGTATTTATTTTTCTTAACATAATTTTAAACTGTAATTTTTTTTATCTTTTTTTTGAGAAAAAAATTTCACATAACTTTTTTAATATGAGACTTAATTAACAAATTTTCCCATAAACTTTTCCTTTGCTTTGCTTTTATCAATTTGTTACTTAACACAATAAAATTAACATTCTAATAAAGTTTTAATAAAACTTTATTATAAAACTTAATAATTCTTTCTATAACATTTTTTAATTTTTTTATATAATATTTTTTAAATAATTTTTTAATAAAAGCTTTCTTAAAAAATTTGTCTTTAACTAAATACACCTTGAGGGAAAGTGCAATCAAAACAAATAAAAGTATTTATATTATTAATATCAATAGTTATCGATTGTTGGAATGTCAATATAATAATTATAATATTACTTAAAATTATAAGTTTATGATCATGATAATATTTTTTTTTTTTTGATCTTGATTGCACTATGGAAGACAATCATTTTTCACCTTTTATCACATCTCACCCGCAGGCTATGCAATTCGAATTTAGGATCTTTTACTTTCAGTGAAAGAGAATAACCACTAAACTATTTAAATTGTTGACGACTATGATATAATATTAAATGAGCAAATGTAAGTAATTTATAGCATATCCCTAAATAAAATGAAGTAATTATATAGCAACATATTGTATTGTAAGTTTATAATGTTACATGACATTATAACTATAGTATTTTCATTGTTGGAAGGCTAAAAAAAATATAATCTATTGTTGGATGAGATGATGCAAGTTTCAAATTACTATATCAAATTAGTTATACTATAATTCTAATATCATATAAACTTATAAATTTATCATTATAATTTGTTATTAAATGAGTGTAATATATTATTAGAAAAAGTAATACAATATAAAGAATGGACATTGATTAAAAAAATCAATAATATAACAATTGATATGTTATAAATAATAATACCATATAACATTATAATTATATTATTTTTTGTAACAAACACACATTTCTCTTGCTTCTCGAACCAAAAGCTTAATATGTGAAGGCCTTGTTTAATTTTGAACAGGTACAATTTAGAATAGGGGTTGAGAAATTATAGAATGATAGCATGATGGTTCAAACCTTATTTATTATCAAAATATTAAATATACCTGCCAAGTGACCCACGAGACAAGGTGTTGAAGGCCTTGTTTACAAATACCGAAAGAGTTAAAAGATCATGTTGCAATATCACCAAAACATCCTCATCGTCATTTACTACAGTCCTACTATTATTCTCTCTAGTCCCTACTCTCTAGGGACTAAAATAAACAATATTAAATTTAGGAGGACCAAATTTAACCCAAAGTCCCAAATCGCATCCCACAATTTGCTCCCCTTTCTCTCTCCCGTAATCCAAACAGCTCATTAAATCGCATTTCAAGATTCTCTTTTACGTCCGAAACACAGCAGCAGTCGGTGGACAGAGAAGTCCAAAAACCATTCCCCCACACTTCATCTTCACGCACGCGTTTCACGGGAGCCAGAGCCGCCGATAACCACCCCGCACGTTAGATTCCGGCGAATCTCCGACCACATTGCCATCGTGATGTCAGATTCCGTTCACCAGGTCTGTCCTCTCTCTGCATCTCTGAACTGGTCTTCCTGCTCCCTCTGTGACCACCGCTACCGGTTTTTGGCTGTTTGTCAGTTTTCGCCGAGCTATGCAGCAGCCTTTTCTATGTTTTCACCTTTTCTGCGCGCATCTCCGATCTCTATTTTCTCAACGCCATTTTTGGTTTTCTTCATTTTTTTCATCTTGAATCGAATCTAATTCTTTTTCTTTAGCTCTAGATTCGCCTTTTTTTTTACCCTGCAGTGATCTCAGCCTTTTGGAAGCTTTTTCTGAAATCAGATTCAGCTTTCTCGATTCGATTCTCTCTGCTTTCTGACCTGTACTTAGATTCTGATTTTTGAATCTAATAAAGCTCATCTCTCGTGATATTTCCGTGAATTCAGATGATTTTCATTACTTCAACTCAATCAGCGGCTTCCTTGTTTTCTTTCCTAAAAAAATGCAGTCAAAATCGATAATTTTGGTGAGT